TTTATTTATGATTGCATTACTACTTTAGAATCTGTTCATCTATGTAATAGACTGTAGTTAATTTGAATCTAAACAACTGAAACATTTACATTAGGTGAATTGAAACAATTATATATAAAAATCCATGCACATTTGTCAGATCAAATTTCATGTTGTGATTAGAAATTGGTGGCCATGATAATACACTTATATGGAGATTAGTGTAAATGGCTGTTTTAAAAAACATAGGGGTATCTAAATGGAGAGATGGTATAATATCAGAACCAGTAAGACAAGAAACGGCTGGTAATTTATTTTCAAAGAAGTAGTGGTAAATTTGAAAAACACTGAAATGTTTGCTGAAATGTCAAATCAAATAATAACATTCAATACAATAGGAGAGATGCCATTGTATGAGAAGATGCACGTAACAACAAATAAGGCAGTTGACTTTTACCTTAATTCATTTCTAAGTGTTTGCATGAAATACCTCAACATTGTTAACATCATATTGAAAAATCTAAGAAGAATCTTGGAGAAAAATACTTATATAGTTCACATTTATTTTGGAGAAGGTATTGTGCCATTTTAATGCACTACTAATTTTCTTTCCTTCTAAAATTAAACTTTGGGAGCAAATTCCGGGAGATGGTGAAGGACAGCAAAGGGAAGCCTAGTGTGTTGCAGTCTGTGGGGTCACAGAGAGTTGGACACGATTTAGCGACTGAACAACAACAACAACAAAGGACAATGTTTGCTGAAGCGAATGCTGGCTAATTATGCATTATTAAGCATCGGTGTGTGTGTTAGTCACTCAGTCATGTCCAGCTCTTTGCGACCCCATGGACTGTAGCCTGCAGGGCTCCTCTGTCCGTGGAATTCTCCAGGCAAGAATACTGGAGTGGGTTGTCATTTCCTTTTCCATCATCAAGCATAGGAGAACTTGTAATAAGACTTTGATCTAGATTTATGTTCTTCCATGGCTTATAAATTCACAGCACAGATAAGATGATCCATTTTGTTAGTGGGATAGGTCCCCTCTTTGTGGGGACATAGAAAACCTCATGACTTCCCTGCTTGTCAGCCTAAGCCAGAGACCTTCCTGTGGTGTAGGATAGTATTCTGATCTCAGATAGGAAGCCATTGCCTGAAGAGAATCTGAATACTGGATGCTAAATATGCCCCACAGTGAACTGAGTCTGGCACATGGGGTCAGACAGCAAATATATATTGAACGAATTAGTCATCATTTATAATTATTCCAAGGTTAGCCACTCCAGTATTCTGGCCTGGAGAATTCCCTGGACTCTATATCTATGGGGTCACAAAGAGTCAGACACGACTGAGTGACTTTCGTTTTCACTGTAATTATTCCAGCTTCCCTCATAGCTCAGTCGGTTAAAAATCTACCTGTGATGTAGGAGACCCGGGTTCAATTCCTTGATCAGGAAGATCCTCTGCAGTAGGAAATGGCAACCCACTCCAGTATTCTCGCCTGGAGAATCTCATGGAGAGAGGAGCCTTTCAGACTATGGTCCATGGGATTGCAAGAGTCGGATACAATTTAGCAACTAAACCACCACCACCATAATTATTCCAGTAATTTTTTTTCCAAAGTGACCTTCTTGTTTTTAAAAATGTATGTAGGTAAAATCCTAACACAAAAGAGAATTATATGTCATGAAGAGTTTTCCAAATTGTATCTTAAAAAAAAAAACCACATATACTTGAAACAATATTTAATATGCTATGTGAGAGTTGGACTGTGAAGAAAGCTGAGTGCTGAAAAATTGATGCCTTTGAACTGTGGTGTTGGTGAAAACTCTTGAGAGTCCCTTGGACTGCAAGGAGATCCAACCAGTCCATCCTGCAGGAGATCAGTCCTGGGTGTTCATTGGAAGGACTGATGCTGAAGCTGAAACTCCAATCCTTTGGCCACCTCATGCAAAGAGTTGACTCCTTGGAAAAGACCCTGATACTGGGAGGGATTGGGGGCAGGAGGAGAAGGGGATGACAGAGGATGAGATGGCTGGATGGCATCACCAACTCGATGGACATGAGTTTGAGTANTTGGTGATGGACAGGGAGACCTGGCGTGCTGCGATTCATGGGGTCGCAAAGAGTCGGACATGACTGAGCGACTGAACTGAACTAACTGAACTAAATATGGTGATATAAGAGTTGCCAAGAGTCGGACATGATTGAGTGACTTCACTTTATGGTGATACAGAAATAAGTAAATTTTAATTTTTTGGATTCTCGGAGGTCTTCAGTCCACTCTTAAATGTTTGGCTGCTATATTTATTATTATAATTATACTTATGAATAATATATAAATTATGGCAAACATTTATTAAAAGGTTACCCAGCATCAGATTCTGTGCTAGAACATAGAACAAAATGTTCTATGAACATTTTGTTGTTGCTGTTTAGTCACTAAGTTGTGTCTGGCTCTATTCGTGATGCCATGGACGGTACACCCTGCTAGGCTCCTCTGTCCATGGAATTTTCCAGGCAAGAATACTGGAATGAGGTGACATTCCTTTCTACAGGGGAGCTTTGCTACAGCAATTGAACCCTCATCTCCTGCGTTGGTAGACAGATTCTTTACCACTGAGCCACCTGGGAAGTCCTTATGACAGGAACATTACATGTGCTTAAAGATGCTTTAAAAAAAAAAATCTTCCAAAGAACCCTATGAAGTTGTTGTATAAAGACTCTATAAGTTTCTCATAGTTATATGGTAGTAATAGGTTATGAACCCAAATAATCTTAAGTCCAGAATCTGTTCTTGATGTTATTAAATTTTATATGATAGTATGCAATTAAATTTTATAGGATTTGTTATTATAACTCTCCCCATGCTTATTATCTGTTGAAAGAATATATCAGATTACAAATTTATGATTTAGGGAAACTAAGCATTTTAGCAGTTATTATTTTAGTCATTAACTACACTGTCAGTTTTATTTGTGGCTTTGGATACTGACTGAATCTCAGAATCACACTTATTCGGACAAGAGAAACATATTTCTGTATTTTCATAATCTCAATTGATGATAATATGACACCACTTATCCTCAATCTGACTCCCCTGGTGGTTCAGTTGATAAAGAATCTGCCTGTGATGCAGGAGACTTGGATTCAATCCCTGGGTTTGGAAGATCCCCTGGAGGAGGGCATGGTGATCCACTCCAATATTCTTGCCTGAAGAATCCCCATGGAGAGGAGCCTGGCGGGCTGCAGTCCATGGGGTCTCAAGTTGGACATGACTGAGCGACTAAGCACACATTTTATCCTCAATCCATATATAGATGTACTATATCTTTAATGATTATTATTTAAAAATATTTGATATTCTCTCTTATTCCCATTAAATTTGACTCTAGGGAAAATTTTATGTGTTTCATGTATCTAATCAAAATTGAAGCTGATTTCATATTTGAGAGAATGAAAACATATATGGAGAATAAAAGAACTCATTGGAAGTTAAACTTAACAGGAATGCCCCAAATACATATATGCCTGATATTTTAAAAGAATCATTGGAATAGAAATTTTTTGCATTATCCCCACCCACAAGTGATGTGTGCATGTGCATGTGTGTGAACAGGACGGGGAGAGTGGAAACAGAGAGACAGGCGAAGGAAGGAAGGAGGAGAGGGGAAGGGGACGCACAGAGGGGATGGAACTGCTGTTCCAGCAGTTAAGACTTTTATTAGTGATGTAAAACTTCAGTAAAATGAAATTGGTAATGATTTTTAGATTTTATTCTTCAGGTATCTTATAATGTCAGTTCTGTACAAAATAAAATGTGATAGTATATTGGCAGTCACTTAGTCTTTCCATATAGAAGATGCAATACACTTTAATAATTCAAACAAAACAAAAAGCCTTTTTTTTCTTAGGAAAAGATGTTTTGGCCTAAATTTAAAAAAAATATACAATGTGGAACAATGACTGTATCTGAGGAAATAATTATATTATGATGCTAATTATATGTGAAACAAACAAACTGTGTGTAATTTTTATAAAATTAATACAAAACAGTATTTGAAAACTTTAATATTTCTATATCATGTATGAATAATGCAGGTTCTAGGGGATTATTTCTTCAAAATTGTTTACTAATGAGTTAACAGTATAAGTAATCAAATATGCATTTTATATATTAATATGTATTACAATAGACTAAAACAATAAAAATTGGAAAGATAAGTCATATTTTCTTCCATGTAAAATGTTTTCCTACTTATAACTTAACTTTATATTCTAAAAAAGAAAGGGAAGAAATTACTAGGCTTAGCTCTAATATGATAAAAGAATACTTATTTGTTATAAGTTCATCTTGCTGATCATAACTGAATTTTACAGTTTCTTAGCCCCCTGTTCACAACTGGCTAACTTTAAAATATGGTATTGTATGAAATGAAACTTGTTTATGTAAGTGATGCTTCCTTTTTCTGTAATTTATTGTTCAAGGGTTTAAAAAAATGTTTAAAAGAAGGCTTAAGAGTATTTTATATAATAACTGTAATGCTATATATCCTACATTTATTGTGGTATGTTACATGAATTATTTTATTAAATAATGATTGTCAAAAAGTTGGACTGTGCGGTGTATGCAATTAAAAACTGTATTGCTCTTCTGTACATGCTGTACATATAAGTGACCCCATGGGTCTCCCAAAGTGAGCCTTTAACATTCCAGAATTTTTACTGTGCATCTGTTGCTGCCATCTAGCCTCCCACCCACACAGGCTAAGACTAACTATATGAAGTTTATGCTAGTGCAATAAAGTACCTAAAGGTGAAGTAATAAAATGGGAAGACAGTTACCTTATTAGTGGGGTTGCTAAAATAGCTTCACTAGAAAAATGTATGCATATATGTGAAAGAAAATAAAGTGTGTGTGTGTGAGTGGGAGAACCTAGAAAGTAACTTAATTGAATAAGTTACTTAATTGAAACTAACTTATGAACAGGTATTTCTTACCCATCTTTCTATGTTATATATTCCAGATGGGATTTATACAGCTCAATGAGGACTTCATATTTATTGAACCACTCAATGATACAGTGGCCATAACGGGTCATCCACATCGTGTATATAGGCGGAAAAGGTCCATGGAGGAAAAAGTCACAGAGAAGTCCGTTCCTCACAGTCATTACTGTGGTGTTATTTCAGGTAATGCCTTCTCCTGAAAGGGTTTAATTAAATATGCAATGTGAGATGAATCCTGGAATAAATCCTCCCTCCCTCCGTTCTTCCCTCCATGCCACCCACCCCGCGCCTTCTTTTTTCCTTGCCTTCCTACCTTCCCCATCCTTCCCTCTCTTTGTGTCTATCCATCTGTCCATGGCTTTAACTTTTTTTTTTTTTAATGTGGAATCTCTTGGTTAATGACAATTACATATATTTTTTTACTTGTTTTCTATGAAGTAGTATATTTTAAAACAAAAATAGAAGACTTCAGATATTAATACATTGCATGCTCTTTATCCCTCTTGAGTTGTGAAGTGTTCCTCAAGGGATTCTGTTCACCTAACTGGAATAGAAATGACACTGCAGAACTCCAGATCCCCTGAAACTGAATACTGTGAGCTCATGGTCTTATTTTAGTTTACTTCTGTGTGAACATCATAGAAATCTCTTTACTTTGACCAGAGCATCTTCTACTTTCTTCTTTTCTGTTTGATTCAAGTAAAAATCATCTTGAAGGTTAATATTAATAGAGGAATAGGAAGAAGACTCAAGACTGACTTCTTTGAATTTTATTCTCAGTATCAGAATATCTTAAATCTTAAAGTTTAAGTGGCTCACCAAACATTTCCAACCATCAAATCCTAGTCTCTGTTTGTCTGCCAATTTTTCACAGAAATAAAATGGGGTTGCTGTTTGGTACACTTCCTTATTACTTCCTTTGGCAGAGATATGTGGCATTAGCAAGAAGGGTAAGGAAAAATGAATGATTTCTATTACATAAATAGGACCTGAAAGTCATAGCCAACTTCCAGCAGTTTTCCTAGTAAAAATGTGGACATCTAACCCAGACATCTCTGAATATTCACTGATATGAGAAATAGTTCTGTTTAGAATCTGAGGAAATATGAATTTATTGAAGAATTTTTGGTGTAAAGACTTTAAAATGGACTTGGAGATTTAGAATTAGGTATTAGTGTATTTAGTGCCAAGATAGCAACTTGAAAATTAGTTATGGCATTTGAGGTTGATTTAGGTATATAAACTGTGACAATAAGTAATATTTTCAGAGGCCTTGGCATGTTCATATCATCAGTTGTCTAGGAGGATCAGATTCAGACAGGATTTGAGTATGTTTCTGTTTAGAAATACTATCTCAAATTAATCTCTGATCTCTGTTTTCTTTTGCGAAAGCTCATGGTATCAGTCTATATGATAATTATCTTCACAAGTGGTTAACTGAATCTACCTCTGTGTCACATTATTCAAAGCACATTATCAAGTCAATTTAAATAAGACACACTCCTCTTCTCTATTCTAAGAAATATAGACACACTGGAGATAAAAAACAGCTGGACAAAAGTCATAGTCTGAAAAAGCAAAAGAAAAGTTTTTATATCGTGAGACAATAGCAGCAACAACTTGGATATAGTCCATTTAAGGAGATTGCCTTGTGTGAGTTACATTGAAAATCTGCACTATGCAACTTTTTAATCATAGTAAGTTCCAGCTGTTCTAATTACTCATGTATACAGATGACATAAAGTAGGTTTTATATTCCAGTATATATGAAGGAAAGATTTCTAGAGAATTCTTATTTTTGATAGGTTTTATAAAGCATAAATACATGGTTCATATTTGACAGACCTTGTTCATAAACTTTCTAATTTTTTAAAGACATGACTGTTATATCTTAATGAACCTGTTTGGATCAAGCACTTGCATGCAAGGATTGCTAAGCTATTTTCTAATTTCTCTTACCTATCTTCAGTGTTTTTTAAGGGAAATTTAAAAATCATTTTAAAATTAGCAGTCTGAGAAATAAAATATCCATTTACTTATGCTGATATGTCTAATTGTAGTTCTTCCCTTCTTATTTCAGGATAACATATTAGCATATTAAATTAGATTTGGATAATGTTGCAGCAATGCCTTTGCACAGTGGAATCATAAAGTTTACTTGTATTCAACTTGGTCTTTACCTAGTCCCCTTCATCATGTTAATGTTTTAAGTGTATTGTGTTTATATGTATTGATTATGTAAATGCTTTTTTCCAAACAGATACCTTCATAGTTTCGGATGACTTTGTCATGTTCTTTTATTAAAAGATAACATAGAAGAAAGGCACAGGAGATTGAGAGTCAGAGGCACGAGGTTCAAGGCCTAGCTTCAGTCTCACTCTAGCTAGATGCTCTTCTTTACTTCCCTTGAATTTTTGAACCTTAAAATTCTTTATTTGCAACATAAGCAAAACCAGTCACCTCATAGGAATGTAGAGCTAAATGACACAGCTCTTATTCTCACAAGGTGGACCAATGTATTGTTTTGGGCAAACTTGTAAATGAGTAATTAGGCTACGTATAATAAGAACCGTGACCAGCTTGGTACCCAAGATTCTAAGCTTCTGTTATTGGGGAGGAGGGTGGGTTGAATCTCAAATATCAAGTAAAACTTATCCAGACTACTGGGAAGAAAGGGAACAGAGTCTGTAGGTTAAGAAAATGAACTTTGGAGTCATACTGTATGTGCTCACAACTTATGCTGCCACTTCCTACTTGTGGGACTCTAGAAAATTTCCTTGCTTTCTCCAAGGCTTCATTTACAATGTACAAAATGAATGTAGTGGTCCCTGAATGTTAGGGCTCTTGTCATAATTAAATGAGATTATGTGTAAAAATGAAAAATATTTGTGAAAATTTAGTGGATGTTAGATGGGGAAAGAACATTTTGGGGAGAAGGAATAACAAATACAAAAGCATAAAGGCAGAAGAAATCATCTACTAGGGGAGCCGAAGCCAGTGTCTGCAGTGTGGACAGGAGCCTGGAAAAGTAGTCACAGATGAGATAATGAGGGGCCTTGAGTGCTGTGGTAATAAAGACTTTATCTGGAAGGCAAAATGTGGTCTTTCAAGACTAAACAGGACAGTGGCATTATCAATCAATATTTATAAACTTGTGAGTATGTCTAGGACCCTATGTGAACAAGAACGAGATTTATAGAATTGAAGAAGACCAGTCTCTTTGGTCAGGATACAGAGATCATCTCTATTCTTAGAGCTAACTTAACCCAGCCACTACTGAAATACTTTCCATATGCCAGGCATGATGTCATGGAGATGATCGTCAGTTTGTGGAGAGTATTATGGGGAGCACATAGTGCTTACCTGTATATCCTCATTTATAAATCTCTTCTTTAACTTGGGAGTGTGTGATATCAGCTCCATTGTTTTTGTGCATGCACCTGGGTAGAAAATGATCTCAAGGATTGAAGAGATGAAGAATGAGCTCAGCATGCTTGATATAGACAATGAAGATAGTCAAGGAAGCCACTTAGTAAAAAGGTGACTTCAACATGCATGATTTTCATACACAGTGGCTAACTCATATGATGGAGTCAGAGAGTCATGGTATTGAGATTCTTAAGAAACCTAAAATGTTCCAAATAGCCTATTTAAATATAACACACAAATAAAGATGCAGTACACTGACAGTTTGGGGCCAATACAGCTGTCATTAGTTGGGGCAATAAAGGTAACAAAAGCTTTACTGTCTCTCCCTTACATGGTCTCTTAATCACTCTTGATGTGATTGAAAAGCCCCAAATGTTATTTTTTCTTTCATCTCTGTCTCCTCCATGGGCATGTCTTCTTTCATATATATACCCCCTAAATGTAGGCATTTCCCAGGGCTTCCTCCTTTTCTTTCTACATCTAATGCCACAGGCATCCCTGGAATGATAGAGCCCAAATTCATGGGTTCATCTTTACTGACACATTGTTTTGTTCCAAACTCTACCTCCATTTTAATCTCTCTCCCAACAGTCAGGTGTTTAAGTAACTCTTACTCCGATGTCTCTCAGGCACCTCAGACTTAATAAATCTGTGGCTGAACCCATCATTTTTCCTCCCAGATTCCTCTGCTGATACTCCCCACTATCTACCTGGTCACTGACAAATAACCTCCCCACCCCCACCCCCCACACACACATAAAACAAAACAATAGCAAAAAGAAAGAATAATCCTAACCATTATCCTTTTCGTCTGTTTCATTTGATTAATTTTACTGGGCTTCCCTGATGGTTCAGATGGTAAAGAATCCATCATCTGTGCAAGAGATGAGGGTTTGATCCCTGGTTGGGAAGATCCTTTGGAGAAGGGTATGGCACCCCACTGAAGTATTCTTGCCTGGAAAATCCCTTGGACAGAGGAGCCTGGCAGGCTACAGTCCATGGGGTCACAAAGAGTTGGACACGACAGAGCAACTAACACTTTCACCAAAGGTGATACCTACTTTCTAATATTTTGCCTATTATCTCTTCCTTTCTGTTCCTACCACTGTGTGATTTTTACCCAGAAGACCATTGATGTATCTATCCATTAAGGAGAGATGGTAGATCTGTGTCTGTGTATTTATATGTCTACCTTCCCATCTTTCCTCCACAATCAACTTATTAGGTGTTGACCCTGCCAAGATGAGCCTTTTCGTATACTTATAGGAATGTCTCCTACTAAAGACTTTAAGTTTATATGATAATATACTAATATATAAGTAGGATTGTTATTACAATGAAAAAAAAAACCTACAAAATTCACTCCTAACTGTTGCAGATCTTAAGATACTAATAAAATTAGTTTCATTTGCTGTCCTTCATCAAGGTCTTTGGTATTAACTGCTGGTACTAAATATGGATTCATAACATTTACTTTTAACTATAGTGATTCTGATCTTGGGCAGCCTTGACCTGCAACAGCTTGAAGTGGGGGTTGGGTACCCCCCAGAGATTGAGGCCAGGTCACGACAGTGAAAGCACCAAATCCTGGTTGCTAGAGCAGTGGTCAGTGACAAGGCCCTGGCTTTTTTACTTCACAGGAAAGAATTCCCCCTCAGTCTCTGAGTTGTGCCCTCATGGCCGGCTGAGGGACTTACTTCTGTGGGACATTTCTTCTGGGTTTCCTTTGCCAACCGTTTTGTTTTGCCTCATTCACAGTCCATATTTTGTTTATCTTAGGATCCTCCCATGTGTGCATACGCATCTGTTAGCCAAGATGGATTCAGTCAAAGAGTCCTACGGTAGGCTGGATCAGTTAGCACCACTCCCTTTTTGACCGCCAGGGAGCCTTTCTGCCCGTGTGTAGGTGGGGAGGTCTCCTGACTCAGAGAGTGAGAAATGTGTTCTGGGCAGGGCCCAGCCTCCTCTCTCAATTATCCTACTGTTCTCATCTTGGAGTTTCAGTCTCCAGGGGATGAATCTCCAATCACTGTGCCTTAGAGGCTGGGGCTCATCTACCTCCTGCCTCAATTCTGTTGCCGATGGCTCCTGTTGCTTTTGTCATTTTTGCATTTTCCTGTTTCATGACATATTGCTTATTTTGTTAAATAAGGGCTCTTTGCATTTTATTTTCATGACACTTTGGTTAACTTAGTTAACTGATCTCCTTGACATTTGGGTAAAACTTTGTTAAATAGATTTTTAGTTTGTGTTGCCATGAGAAAAAAAAATGGGAAACTGTAATTTATGGAAATATCTGAGAACAGTGAAGTTACCAGCAATTGTGATGGAATGTACTTCACATTGGAGCTCAGAGCTAACTCATTTGGACCTAGAAGTTAGTAATAGAAGTAACCCAGCAGTTTAATAACAGAAGAGATAAACTAATCCTGGCATCATGAAAATGTATTAGAAGGGAAGTAAGGTGGAACAGGTAGTAGAATAGAATAGAATACACACCAAAGTCAAATACCTGGAACAAGATTCTAGAAAAGGAATTTATCAGAAACCCAGAGGGTGAACTAGAACTCTGAGCATACATACCTCCAAGTTCAAAACAAAGTTAGATATGTCCATGTAAACATGACTAATTGGACACACTTGTTTATATCCATGGGATTCTATTAAACACATATGTTTACTTCTGGGGGCTCCACTAAAATTAGAATTAAAAAATATAAAAGATGTCAGCCAACAAGTACAGATTTGGGAAAGAAGATGTCAGCTATTTAGTAACGTCAACAAAATTTCAGAACATGGCAAGGAGAAGAAGAGATAATAGCTGATTTAACAGTAAATGGTGGAGATAGCTGTGCGGTTGTAAAAAGTTGTTAAAACTAAATGAATTGTACATTGAAATGGCTACATGTTATGGCATGCAAATTACCCCTCAACAAAGCTATTAAAATTACAAATTCATTATTAAAGCACAGCACACATATAGGAAGTTGCACAAATGATGTGTCCGACTGCTGAATTTTCCCAAAGTGAAGAATAAGTAGGTACTACTCAGATTAAAATATAGAAAGTATCAGCACCAATAGATGTTGCCCTTGTACCCACTCTTCGGCTCTAGTTTCTCTTAACCCAAGATCGTAACTATCCCGACTTCTAACATCCCAGCTTCCCAGTTTATGATGTTCCTATAGATGGAATCATACACTGCCTACTCTTTTGTAATTGCTCTTTTGCTCAGCAGTATGTTTGTTAGGCTCACCTGTTTTCACAAATTGAAGTAGTTCATTTTCACTGCTATATGAAGTGAAGTGAAGTGAAAGTCACTCAGTTGTGTCCGACTCTTTGCGACCCAAGGACCATACAGTCCATGGGATTCTCCAGGTCAGAATACTGGACTGGGTAGCCTTTCCCTTCTCCAGGAGATCTTCCCAACCCAGGGATTGAACCCAGGTCTCCCACATTGCAGGCAGATTCTTAACCAGCTGAGCCACAAGGGAAGCCCTCACTGCTATATAGCATTCCATTTTATGAATAGGACAGAATTTCTTTATCCATACTATTGATGGTTAGTTGAACTATTAAGAACAGCGCTGCTATGAGTAATTTTTACACCTGATTTGCATGTAATCCTAATGAGTGTGTACTTTAGAATGTTGATCATTGGATGTGCAATTGTTCAGCTTTAGTGGATACTCCCAACCAGTTTTTCATTGTTTATCCTAATTTAAACTCCCAGCTCATATGAGTATGGGACTTCCAGTTGTCCTTACCTTCTTGTCAACACTGAATATAATCATGTCTATCGTAGCCATTCTGGAATTTTATTTAAGTTATTGTGGTTAATTTGCATTTCCTTGAAGACCAGTGAGACTGAGCACCTTCTCCTATGCTAATTAGCCTTTTGAATCTCCTTTATGTTAAAAATGCCTGTTCAGATTTGCAGCCAGCTTTTCAGTTCAGTTATCTGTCATTGACTTAGAGTAGCTTTTCATTTCTTTATTATGGAAAAGTTCTGTAATTATCTTCTCTCACTTGGCTGAATGCTTTTCATTCTGATAGTAGCATATTTTCATAAACAAAATTTCCATTTTTATATAAATGCATAAAGATGTTTATTGGTGGTTACTGCTTTTATTTGACCCTGTTTGAGGAATCTGCTGTGCTGAGGTCATAACTTCTGTATTATTCTGATGGATGACAGAACCAATTCCTTTGTAGCCTGTACATAGTTTGAGTAATTAGAGGCACTTGCCTGCAGAGGAGCCTGGTGGGTTACAATCCATGGGGTAGCAAAGAATCAGACACGACTTAGTGACATTAGGGTGTATGGAGCAGTCACTTCAGGCACTTCTGGCAAGTAGACTTTTATCACTGGTTTCCAAAAGAAAACCATGATGTCTTTTATTTATGCAATTATTTTATTTATAAATACTAATGTGATCTTATTATTGGCCACCTACAACTCTAGAAAGCAGGTGTTACTGTTATTCATTTTACAAATGAGGAAACTAAGGCTGACTGAGTGATGTTAATTTCCCAAGGAGTAGAGTTAATCAGTGGTAGAAGTCCAGTCTGTCTGATTCCAAAGCTAAATGCTCATTTAGGTTCCCTATGTGCAGGGAACTTTTATGGTCTTGCTCATCACTATATCATCAGCACATGTTGATATTTAATAAACTTTCTTTTTAATTATTGAAGAGGTGGAGATTTTTACTCATTTTGCTGAGATAGAGGCACATTTGAAAATTCATTTCTGTGTTGCAGATAAAGGAAGACCTAGTTCTAAAAAAATAACAGAAAGTGGAAGAGGGAAACGATATTCATACAAATTACCTCAAGAATACAACATAGAGACTGTAGTGGTTGCAGACCCAGCAATGGTTTCCTATCATGGAGCAGATGCAGCCAGGAGATTCATTCTAACCATCTTAAATATGGTAGGCAAACTTTAAAGTGCGCTTGGAATTTTTTCAAGAAAACTCTAAGGAAGAAATGTGTGAGTATAATGAAGTTCTTTAAAAATTAATTCATTACTATTCCTTTCTTTTATTGACAGAAAAAACAGGTGTATCAAATTGATCCATCTCAAGAGAGATATCAAAATAATAATTTATACCTTCTAGTAATAAATCCTTATTGTTAATTTGATGTGGCAAAACTCTTTTTTCTATTATTCTTTTATCTCTTTTTTTGTGCCCTTCTTTTCCTTCTTTTTTTAATAAAAGGCCATTTGTTGAAATAGCAGAAATGTTTTATTTGTTTATATGTATGGCCCCACCCAAAGTACTGTAGATTATGAGGTGGAACAAAAATGGAGGTTGGTGATCCACTGAGCTCTTATGTAGGTATGTAAAATTGCATGTCGGATATAATACTAGTTGATGAGTAAGATGTAGTAGCTAAGAGCTGAATCACAGGTAGCTAACTTTGGTTGATAGCTTTTGGACCACAGAAATCTAACTTGCACCTGGAATCTGAATCCTTGTATCTACTGCCTGCATCCTTTGACTTAACTATATACCCTGTTGAGTAAACTTCCTTCAAGGCAGGATGGGAAGGTTTTCATGGAGAGTGTTTCTCAGGAGAGAATAAACATAAATGAAAGCCAATGGCAGATGTCCATGTATAATTTGAGTTGCCATATAAGGCAAGATAAGAACCACTAGTACAAGGATAACTACTTAGCTACTGAACAACCACTTCACCAGCATTTTGTAAAGGGTAGACAGGCATAGCCTACCAACTTCAGTCTCTTTTAAATAGTACAGCCTTGGAAAGTGTGGGTTTAGTATGCCAGTTTTAATTTTCTATAATAAATTAAATAGTCAATTTAAAAAAAAAAAAAATCAAGGTACTGCATAAAAAATTTGCCTTGCTTTCCAGCATTGTTACATATACCATGTTTTGGAAATACCAGTTATGATGGTAACCTGAAACCATTATGCAATAATAGCATGTCTTCATGGGCAGCATTGAAGGGGAGGAGCTTTGAAAATCCTGTTTCTGTTTGGCAGTTGTCCTGGGGAGAGTAAAAACTGTAAAGGATAAATTGGGAGGTGGCATAAAGCAGGCTGTTTTGGGACATTTTCTCAGAAGAAAGGACACTGGCATTTTGTGATCTTAAGAAAATTTCTAGGATTTAGTTACTAAAATTCTTCTCTTCACTCTTTTGGAAAGCCCAGCTTTCCCTCTGCCCCCCACTGAAATGCTTAGATTATCGATTGCAGTAAGTGTATTATCAGAATGCTAGGTCTAAATTTCTTGGTGTCTAAAGTGAATTAGTTATTGCTTATTAAGCTAATTTTAAAGTAATTAAAAAAATTTTTTTGAAATATATAAAATTGCTCAACTGAATTGAGACTTCTCCCAGGTCTGGGCTTTAAGAAAAATTAAGATGTCTTTCAGTTTTATTTTAGGATTTTTATTTTTATTTGCTTTTAGGTTTTTAACCTTTTCCAACACAAGAGTCTTGGTGTGCAGGTCAATCTTCGTGTGATAAAGCTTATTCTGCTCCATGAAACTCCAGTAAGAAAGTCTTGAGTTTTTTGTTCAATTCAGTGGGTGAGAAGTTGTATTCAGGTACTTTTAAGTAAAGGGAATATTAGGGATTTACTTTTTCTTGACTTAAAATCCAGAAATATCCACTGAGTCACTTGAAATGTACATAAAACAGGCCCTTAGTTTTAGTTAATACCTCAATTATATTCCAAAAATGGAATGTTCTAAGTTTCCAAGGATCCTGACAACAAACCTTAACTTTGCAAAATGCAATTTTTAAAAGTCATTTTTAATGACAGTTTTATTTTCTTATTTAAACATGTGCTTTATCTGTAATTCAATTTAAATACTGTTCTGTGGCATCATTTTAACATACTGCTTAGCTTTGTAAAACCTTTGTTAAAATTGTAGAAATAATGAGTGATTTAAGTCTAAAAGTTCCACATTCTTAATATTCCATTGCAACTCTCTTCTTTTTCAGAATAGCATTAAACAGGTTTTGTAATTATTGTACCTTCACAAAGTTTTAAGATTTTTTTAGCTCAGGAAAAATTAATCCTGAATGTCTTCCAGGTTCTAATTAATGTTATGGTCAGCAGTCTGCTCTAGTAATTCAAGAAGTCCCCTTGGTTTTTAGTTTTCTGTATATCTGGGAATAATTTGCCTTGAAGTGAAATCTCTTCTTTTGCAGGCAGATCTGTATATTGGGCATCATGGAGAGAAAATGCTGGAGAGTTTTTGTAAGTGGCAGCATGAAGAATTTGGCAAAAAGAATGATATACATGTAGAGATGTCAACAAGCTGGGGAGAGGACATGACCTCAGTGGATGCAGCTATACTTATAACAAGGTGAGTTTTTTAAAGCCAGTTAAATGACATTCTTAATTTGATGGCCATGCTGTTAATCCTATTAATCCCTTCATAGAATGCTTTTATTCCAGATTTTGTGTTCCAAAAACCTTTTGGCATAATGCTGTTAGTCATTTCCCTCAATTCATAATAACTGATTTCTGAACAGCCACATATTGGCTGGCATATTGACTAAACATTTGGTTAATTAATATAAAAAAAGGTACCCTCAATTTTCGATGCAAAGACTTAGCCATTGATGATGATAAATGAAAGCACTGATGAATTTTGGTAGAATTTTGAAGTTATGAACCTACATAGTATGTTTTTCAGTCATCATCATGTAAAGTGCCCAGTATGTTAAACTGAACAATTCCTGGTTCCAGGAAAAAATTTTAATTAAGTCTCTAGCTAGTTAATTTTGAGCTGCATTTGTGTTTCAGCATTGAGTATAAATATAAGGTGAGACAATGAAGAACAATTAACTCTCTATGAACATTCTTTATAAACTTACAAACTTAAATATAAGCTTATTTTGCTTAGAGCTAGTAATTAATGGTAGCTCATTGTTATCTAGCAATTTAATTTTTTTATCATTGTTGACATTTCACATCACAGAATACACAGTGACATTTAAACATGATTTTCTATAATGAGTCTATTGAATTCATAATGGCTTCTTATTGCTGAATTGTATAAAAACTATTGTACTTATAAATAGTTCATAAAAACGAAAACAATCTCTATATAAGAACACAAGTAGACTTCCATTTCCAGCTATGTAGGTGTACCCGATACTAGACTTACTCTGCAATAAACAGCCGTAAAACTGAAAAACATTTATGAGGCAACTGCTTTCAGTTATTGAAGAAATAGCAGTGCAGTCTCTGAAAGGAGGAAAATTTACTAGGTGAGCCCCACAGCCAATGCAGCTTTTGCCTTGGGACAAGTTTTTGAATGGAACAGCAAGCTGGAAACTAGGCAGAGCACAGCGCTCCTGCTGAAAGCGCCAGAGACGAGGATACTTTGCAAGCAGAGGTGCCAGGTTCTTGTGCAGATCATCTGTGAGGCCTTTGCAAAGACTGGTCTAACTACACATAGAAACTACCCAACATTTATCAGGGTGCTGTTGCTATGGAGTTAAGGTTCTAGAAATTGAGCATATTTGGGCCATGGGAGTAAAGCAACCTTGCTAATACCTTATTTTTACTCCTGGCGTTTGTCTGAGAAAACAGAGGCACCATTAAGAGGCTTCCTCAACAGGCACCGTGATCCAGAGAAATGCCCTCTCTTGACCCTCTCTTAACAAAGCCTGAAACCAAGCCCAGTTTGGAGGTTGAATCCCGCCAGTTTACGAAGGCTTAGAAATCATCTTGAGCTTTTAGTGTATCCTCCCTACCAAAGAATAAACTCAAACCTACCTACATTCAGAGTGACCAGCAAATAAAAAAGACAAACCACTCTTCAGAGGAATATAACTGAATCTTGAATCTCTATATCATCTACAATGTCTGGAATATAATGAAAATTAGTCAAGCAAAGAAACATGAAAATGTGACCCACGGTCAAAGAAAAATTATCAGAAACTGACCCTGAGATTGCTTAGATGTTGTATTTACCAAATACTGCTGTCACTGGAATCTCAGAAGAGAGTGAGAATGGCTAAGAAAATTATTTGAAGATGTAATGTCAAAAGTTTTTCACAGATTTCATAAAAATCCACAACTTAGAGACCAAGGCATATCATAGGAAAATTGGTGAGAACCAAAGATATAGAAAAAAAATGTTGAATTGGCTAGAGAAAAGGGATACATTACAATAGCAGAGACAGCATTAAGATCAATAACTGACTTCCTGTCAGAAAGAAAAGATCCCTAAAACAATGAAATGATATCACTAATGTACTGACCGAAAAAACCCTATCAACAAAAATTCTTAATGAATTCATAGGGATACTTTCTTAATCTGTGAAAGTGGATCTACAACTACTTACACATACAAAATCTATAGCTAATAAGACTGGAAGCAAGGCAGGCAATGTCCTCTCTTAGCTTATCTGTACAGTATTGTGCTGATGGTTATAAGGAAGAGGAAGGAAAGGTGTAAATATTGGGGAGAAAAATTAAGAACTGTCTCTACACAGATGACATGACAATACAAAGAAAATTTCAAGAAATCTAGTGGAAAAATTGCTGGAATTTACAACTGAAATTTACAGGGCTATAGCATATAAAATCAATTTAGAAGAAGAATTATATTTATATATGGAAGAAGTGAACATGTGGGAAGACTTTAAAGTAACTTCCAAAGCCATAAAACACTGAGAATAATTTAAGAAAATGAAATGATATCTACATAGCCCTGCTGTGAAAAATTAGAGATATAAATAAAGGTTTATTTATTGGAAGACAAAGTATTATCAAGATGTCTATTTTCCCTAAATTGACTTAAGGAGTGACTATAATCCCAATGAAAATCACTGCAGGTTTTCCATTTGGTTTGCTTTGGTTTTAAAAATTACAATCTGATTCCAATATTTATTTGGAAAAGAAAAGGACCTAGAAGAGTTAAGTGGTTTTGTAAAAGAGGAACAAATTGGGTGGACTTACATTTTCTGATTTCAAAACTTATTATAAAAGTTTGGTAGTCAAATCAGTATAGCTATGATAGAACATTAGCCATACAAATCAGTGCAACAGAATAAAGAGTCTGGAAATACACTCGAATACATACGGTTAATTGATGTTCAGTAAAACCATTAGCATAATTCAGTGATGAAAAGATAGTCTGTTTACCATATGGTTCCAGAACACTTGGATGCCCATTTGAGAAAAATAAATCTCAACCCTGTTTAACACCTTGTATGATGTTAATTCATAATGGATCATAGAAATCTACAACTATAAGACTTTTATTGAAAAAAAAATCTTCATGACCATGAGAGGACAGTAATTTCCTAGACAGGATACAAAAAAGCAGCCAATAAAAATTATTAATCATTTGGGCTTCTTGAAAATTAAAACCACATCACATCCAAAAATATTGATATGTAAATGAAAAGATTCAGTTCTGTTCAGTTGCTCAGTTGTATCTGACTCTGCGACCCCATGAACCACAATATGCTAAGCCTCCCTGTCCATCACCGACTCTTTTGGAGTCCACCCAAACCCATGTCAATTATTGAGTCGGTGATGCCATTCAACCATCTCATCCTCTGTCGTCCCCTTCTCTTCCTGCCCTCAATCTTTCTCAGCATCAGGGTCTTTTCCAATGAGTCAGCTCTTCGCATCAGGTGGCTAAGTATTGGAGTTTCAGCTTCAGCATCAATCCTACCAATGAACACCCAGGACTGATCTCCTTTAGGATGGACTGGATGGATCTCCTTGCAGTCCAAGGGACTCTCAAGAGTCTTCTCCAACACCACAGTTCAAAAGCAACAATTCTTTGGCACTCAGCTTTCTTTATAGTCCAACTCTCACATCCATACATGGCCACTGGAAAAACCATAGCCTTGACTAGACGGACTTTGTTGACAAAGTAATGTCTCTGCTTTTTAATATACTATCTAGGTTGGTCATAACTTTCCTTCCAAGGAGTAAGCGTCTTCTAATTTCATGGCTGCAGTCACCATCTGCAGTGATTCTGGAGCCCCCCAAAATAAAGTCTCTCACTATTTCCACTGTTTCTCCATCTATGCCATGAAGTGATGGGACTGGATGCCATGATCTTTGTTTTCTGAATGTTGAGCTTTAAGACAACTTTCCCACTCTCCTCTTTTACTTTCATCCTTAGGCCCTTTAGTTCTTCTTCACTTTCTGCCATAAGGGTGGTGTCATCTGCATATCTGAGGTTATTGATATTTCTCCCAGCAATCTTGATNTCCTTTATTGTGCCTACCTTTGCATGAAATGTTCCCTTTGTATCTCTAATTTTCTTGAAGAGATCTCTAGTCTTTCCCATTTTACTGTTTTCCTCTATTTCTTTGCACTGATCACTGAGGAAGGCTTTCTTATCTCTCCTTGCTATTCTTTGGAACTCTGCATTCAAATGGGTATATCTTTCCTTTTCTCCTTTGCTTTTCACTTCCCTTCTTTTCACATCTATTTATAAGGCCTCCTCAGACAGCCATTTTGGTTTTTTGCGTTTCTTTTTTTGGGGGATGGTCTTGATTCCTATCTCCTGTACAGTGTCACAAACCCCCATCCATAGTTCATCAGGCACTCTGTCAGATCTAGTCCCTTGAATCTATTTCTCACTTCCACTGTATAATCATAAGGGATTTGATTTAGGTCATACCTGAATGGTCTAGTGGTTTTCCCTACTTTCTTCAATTTAAGTCTGAATTTGGCAATAAGGAGTTCATGATCTGAGCCACAGTCAGCTCCCCGTCTTGTTTTTGCTGACTGTATAGAGCTTCTCCATCTTTGGCTGCAAAGAATATAATCAGTCTGATATTGGTATTGACCATCTGGTGATGATGTGTAGAGTCTTCTCTTGTGTTGTTGGAAGAGGGTGTTTGCTATGACCAGTGCATTCTCTTGGCAGAACTCTATTAGCCTTTGCCCTGCTTCATTCTGTACTCCAAGGCCAAATTTGCCTTTTCCTCCAGGTGTTTCATGACTTCCTACTTATGCATTCCAGTCTGCTATAATGAAAAGGACATCTTTTTTGGGTGTTAGTTCTGCAAGGTCTTGTAGGTCTTCGTAGAACTGTTCAACTTCAGCTTCTTCAGCATTACTGGTAGGGGCATAGACTTGGATTATTGTGATATTGAATGGTTTGCCTTGGAAACAAACAGAGATCCTTCTGTGCAATAGACATATTTAATGGATAATTTGTATCTATAATTACATGTATATTTATGGATATACATATATGATATATAAATATATAGAACTTTAAGACTATAGAACTTTAAGAAAGATAATCAAAGAAATATGACCTGTGTTTACCTAGACAGTAGCTGATAATCTTGGAGTTGACCATTTGACCGCTATTAA